CATCTTGCACAAACTCTTCTGGAAAAGAGAAAAAAGGAACATTTTTCCAACTCGTTTTTATCATAATCTCACCCAACACCTGATAAGAAAAGTGCCAGGAAGGAGAACTGTAGGGTCACCTCCCCCGAGAACACAGAAGGAGGGTGCGAGACACCACATGGGCCACCATCGGGACATCTTCCCCGGATCCCAAGACCACCAGGGAGCCACACGCTGAAGGCAAGGGTGACCCTGACATCAGAAACAGAAATACCTCGCGGCGAGCTGTCGACCTGAGAGAAAAAGCAAAAAGCAAAAAAACAAACAAACACCCCCCCCCCACCAAAGCCGAACTTCTGAAAAATAACAGAGGGTGGAATATTCCGTGTTTTCATGACTTTGGGGCAGGGAGACACGTTTTGGAAAAGGCACAGAGATACGAATGCGAGGAGAACAGACTGCGGGGTTGTACCGCGGCCAAACCGCGCGCCGCCCTGCAGGGTGAGAGGGACCGACAGGAATCACAGAGCCTTCAGGGCTTAATGAAAACGAAAGTGCCACTTACCGGAACCTGTGGGGCACAGTGAGTCACCTCTGTGAGGGGAAATGTGTCCCCTCAACTGCCTTCCCAGCAAAACAGGAGAGATTCAAAAATAAGCAAACCAAACTGTCCTCCAAAGAAATCCAAAGAAAATAGGGGGAGAGAAAATGAATGGGAGTCGAGGGGCACAGGAAAAACAAGCACACAGAACAAATCTCAGTGCCGGTGTTTTGAAAAGACTAGGAAAACAGACAGCCCTTCAGCAAAAAGGGCATCGAGAGAGAACGACAGACACCAGTAAACAAGGTCAGAATTAAAGACACATACCCAAGGGATTAAAAAAAAATACGATCAGAAGAAACAAAGAGCCTCCGCGAAATGGACACTCTCCTAGGCAAACAGTAATGAGCGAATTGGCCTGGGAAGAAGGAGAAACATCGAAACAGGCCCAGGACCAAAAAGGAAGATGAACTATGAAAGATCTGTCCTCAAAAGGCATCTGGAAGTTTTACAGGTGAAAAACAAAGACAGCTACAGACGATTCTTAGCTACAAATCCAGAAGGTCTCCAGGACCGGAAAGTCGGGGCAGCTCCCCCAAACCGGAGTGAACAGCAACACCAGAGAGATGCTGCTAATAATGTGACCGAATCAAAACCCCACACACCTGTACCACCCAAGGTGAGCCACACATGGATGTTCTTTGTCTTCACAGGTAAGAGGCAAAACCCAGCAGATACAACAGCCTCCTACATACGCCCCGGTAAGAAAAGACAGCCCAGGAGGACCAGGGCCCCAGAAGGATTGTCACAGAAGAAATGTCATTTCCAGACGGCGGAACAACATCAGCGGGGCGCCTGTGTGCCCCGGTCGGGCGGGCACGGATCCTTCAGGTTCCACACGTCAGTACTGGAGAGTCTCGGGGAAGCTGCTCATCCCGGGCTGGGGACGACGCCCAGGGGACCCCTCTGGATGAGTCCGGGAGTGACTGGGAAAATGGAAAATGTGATTACTGCTAGAAACTTCACTCCTGTTTTCATCTGGAAAAGAAAAAAACATGTATGTGCCCAAGAAGGGTTAGACAAAGATGTCCATTTTAGCCCGGCCGGTGTGGCTCAGTGGCTGAGCGTCAACCCTGCACCAAGAGGTCACCGGTTCAATTCCCAGTCAGGGCACATGCCCAGGTTGTGGGCCAGATCCCCAGTGGGGAGCATGCAGGAGGCGGCCAATCGATGTTCTCTCTCATTGATGTTTCTCTCTCCCCCTCTCTCTTCCTCTCTCTCTAAAATCAATAAAGAAAAAAAAATTAAAAAAACAAAAAAATCCGAAGATGTCCATGTCCCTGATGAGTAGTTGGGCAAGTAGACTGGGAGGCATTAAATAATACGGGGATAGCGTATTAAATAATACTGGGATAGCGTATCAAATAACAGTAAACACAAACAAATACCAGCTGTATAAATTGATGTGGCGTGATTTCAAAAAATACCACTAGGTGGCAAAAAGCAAGACACAGAATAATTTGTACAACGTGACACCGCTTTTATAAAACACAAACAACGTTAGAGTTTCAGGTACATGCGTGTGCGTCACAGATTGTAGAACATCTGCTGGTATTGGGGGGATGTGGAGGGGTCTCTGAGGACGGGGAGGAGGCGAGGAAACCATGAGGGAGGTGGATGGGGGAAAACACTCACTGTATTTGCGCTGCTTTAAATAATGAAAAGGAGACGGTGAATGTAATGTCTGTGCAGTTAAAGTAATAACACAGGGACCCGGCAAGGACAGGCCTCCCAGGTTTGTCATTTAGCTTGGTGCAGCGAGACTGTGTTCACAAGCGGAGGTGCACGGGGGCCGGGGTAGGCAGTCAATACGCAGGATGTTTGGGCAGGTGCCTGGGCACAGCCTGACGTGGGTGTACAGGTGAGTCTGCCGGAGCCTGAGGCCAGCCCAGCGCCGAGCATTTGGGAGAATTCTATGAGCAAACTTTGACATGAACTTCCACCTAATAGCCGCAGATGGCTGCTGGTTTCCACCATGACATCCTCACACGCGCACCCGGCAGGAAGCAGGGCAGGAGAAGGGGCGGGCATGCCTCCGTTTTGTAGGCACAACAGATTCGCTTACATCACTTCAGTCCTTGCCTAGTAAACCAGACCCTGCTCGCACAGACCCTGGCAGCTGTCAGGGCTGCTGGGGGTGTTGTCTTCTTTTGGGGAGCCAGCAGGCAGCTAAGTCGTGGGGCTTCTCTTCCTAAAGGACAGGGGCAGGGGGGTATTGGGAACAACTAGTTCCTGCCACACCTTCCCACATATCAACAACCATGTCCACTCACCTGGTTCTAGTGTCTGGTCCCAGGACTTGTGGGAGGCCTTGAGGGACAGGATGGAGGAAAGCGGGTAGATGTGAGCCCAGACCTCCCACGGTGGCCTGGCTGAGCTGCAGGTGCAGTAGCCAACGCAGAAAACCTGAGGCCACCTGGGAACACCGGGCTGGAAACCCAGAATGGTCCGCAGTGGAGGTCTCCAGGCTCCGCTTTGCTGAGCCAACCTGGCTTCCTACGCGGGTGTGGACAGAGCCCAGGACAGCTCAGAGCCTGCCGGGAGGTGCCAGAGGGGCCCTGCAGGGCAGGGTGGTGGTCTGCAGCCAGGCCAAAGTGCAGATCTACAGGGAGGGCTGCCAGGCTTAGCAAAGACAGGGTCCCAGTTCATTCTGAGAACGGGAAATCTTTGTTTGGTGAGAGCATGTCCCAGGTTCCTGTTATTATCTGAAATGCAAGTTGAATTGGGTGCCCTGTATTTTACCTAAAAACCCTACAAGATGAGGGTTTTAGGGGCCCAACCAGGTCTCAGAGGGATCTGGAGCCCCACTGGGGACCAGTATGAGCTCAAGGAAGATGTGGGGACCTCCAGGTTCGTCTCGATCCCCAGAGAGAACAGTAGCCACAGGGGCCTGCTGGGCAGACAGCAAACAGGCCAGTGCAGAGGCCACAAGACCCGACCCTTCCCTGCCCAAGGGAATGTGCACAGGGTGACCTGTGCCTTCCTGCATCCCTAGACCAGAGGCCCACCTACGGAGAAGAGCAGAGATGGGAAGCCCTGGCCAGTATCCCCCCAGGGACCGAGCATTACCTGAGGCCCATTTAAAGTATCTCTAAGAGTATGTCCTAGTTCTAAGGATGGAGTGACTTTATTTTTACCTCTCAGCTACAGGTGAGCGCCCGGGAACACGAGGCTCCGTGCAGACCATGCAATGACCGTACATCCTCGTGCTCACCTGAGCACAGCTGGCTTGAGTTCGGCCACCCTGCTCCCCTCCTCTCCGCACACTTGCCGGGTCTTTCGGATCTCCCTGGGATCACTGTCTCCTGTTTCTGAGTAACCGGTCCCTGAGGCAGCAGGGCCAGAGCCTTAGTCATCCACAGCCGTAGTCATCTCCCCCACGCTCGCTCGGGCTTTCTGGAAGCTTTGGGGCCTTGTAAAGTTCAAAGCCCACAACGATAATAAAGAGGCCACTGCGCTTGGCGTGGGTGGCAGCTGCAGGCCAGCTGGGACACTCCCAGCTGCACGGAGGCGTTGGGACTGGGCGAAGAGAGTCTGGGCTGGCCCAAGCTTGGCTCTGTGGGGCCCAGCCTGAACCTGGCCTCCCAGGCCCCTTCTATCACCTTTACAGTGAGCTCCTCTGTGCCCAAGATGCTGGGGAGAGGCGAACTCTGAGACACCGCCGGCTCTGCTTGGGGGCCCCGCAGGGCACAGGGTTGGGGGTGTATAACAACGTGTGCTCCAGTGGAAAGCTATGCATGGGGTACTCACCGCGCACCCTGCTCTTGTGTGACCCCAGCCCCCCCACTGTCTTTTTCACACAGTGCAAACTGATTTGTCCAGAGGCTCAGGGATCCCCTTCACCCCACCCTGTAGAAAAACGAGCTCTGCCTCCGGTTACCGATTTATTTCAGTATTTCAGGTCTCTGTCGATGGCCCTTTGAACGGGTTATAACACGCCGGGTTCCTCTGCGAAGGAGTCGAGTCTTGCACACTTGTCCGTACTTACACCTGCAGGGGGATTATGATGTGCCCTTTTCTGGAAAGGACCTGCGAAGAGGGAGGGGTGGGATGAACCGAGCTCCCCTCTCCCCTCTGGGCTCACGACTGCGTGACCTGCCGGAGAAAGGAGGCTGGTGAGCACCTGAGACCGCGCAGGAGGTCTCTGGGCGCGCAGGGCTCAGATCCCGCTCAGGCCCCGCCCCTCGCCGGCCCCGCCCCTCGCCGGCCCCGCCCCTCGCCGGCCCCGCCCCCAGACCGCCCTCTGGTTATAAGGTCCGGGCCGCGCGGACCAGCCCAGAGCGCCAGTCCTCCGGCGCCCAGTCGGAGCAGGGCAGCGGCGCCGCGCAGTCCCCATTGGCCAGCGGGCGGCTGCCGAGGCGGGCCCGGGCCTGCGATTGGCCGGCCGGCGGCGGAGTGGGCGGTGGCGGGCGCGGCTGTCATGGAGGCGCCCGGGGTGCTGAGCGAGCCGCAGCCGGGGACCTCGCAGGAGCAGCCGGGGCCGCGGCCGCGGAGGAGGTGCGCGGAGGCGGGGGGCGGTCCTGCGGCGCTCCCCGCGGCCGGCAGTGGGAGGCAGCCGGGGGGCGCCCGGCCCGGGCCCCGTTGGCGAGCGGTCTGCCACCCCCACGCCCCCGGCCCGCGGAGGGTCCTGCCCCGCTCGCACGGCAGCTGGCGCCGGGCAGCTCTCAGAGCCCGGCGGCCGCAGGGGCAGAGGGGCCCCGGCGTGCTCCCCTGCCGTGCATGTGGGCACCTGGAACGGGGGGCCGTGGATGCACTGGGGTCCACGCTGGCTGGACCGTGAGGGCGGAGGAAGGTGTCAGTAGATGGGGAGCGGGGAGGAGGGTGTTCCACTTTGAGGGACCGGGAGGAGCCGAGGCACGGGCGTGGGAAGCGATACACGTGCCCTCTGGGCCGGGCCCTCGTTCACCTGCTGACCTGGGGGTAAGCTGGGTGCACGGATGGGGCCGCCTTGTGGGAACAGCATCCCGAGTTTTGTTTATAGGCCCAAAGGAGTGAGCTGGGTGGGTGTTTCTGGCCGGACGCTGGTGGAAAGCTAAGGGCCGCTGGCTGCTGCGCAAGTGGAGCCAGAAAGGGGGCACGTTGGTCCCTTCCACCCGCCTCTGTGGTTCTGGGGCCCTGACCCCCGTGGAGGTCCAGCTCGTGTTCAGGCGTGGCAGATCCTAAAGAGGGCTTTTGCCCACAAGTGGGGTGCGGGCAGAGGATCCACTCCCATTAGCGAGCAAGTGGCCTCGGACGCCGGCAGGTTGAGAGGACTCCACCTTCGAAGCCCAGGGCCAGTGACGGGCATCTTTCCCCGCCGCTCTAAGAATAACAACTTTTAAAAGGGAAACTGTTTGTCCCCCCGTGGCTCAGTGGTTGAGCTTTGACCCATGCACCGGGAGGTTGCCTGTTCATTTCCGGTTGGAACACATGCCCAGGTTGTGGGCCCGATCCCCAGTGGGGGGCGTGCAGGCGGCAGCCAATCGATGTTCTCTCTCATCGATGTTTCTATCTCTCTCTCCCTCTCCCTTCCTCTCTCTCTAAAATCAATAAAGGGGGAAAAAAAAAGTGAACACTGTTTAATTCATTTATCCAGGGTTTTCCAACTTACCGTACCAAAGGTGTTCTTTTCCCTAGCGCAACCCTGCATGACACCCTGATGTGGCACCCCGTAACAGTCCTCCCTGGGGAGTTAGGGTTCCACGGAACACACTTCGGGAAATGTAGGCTGTAGAGACGCTTGGCCCTTCAACTATCTATCTTTGAGTTGTCCTGCTCCTTGGCTATAGCAAAACCTAGGAGGGATATGTCGCTGGTCTCTGCAGGGTGCTATTTGGTGGCTGTTTTAGAGGGGAAGGTGTTCAGTCACAGAGAGAGAGGTAGGGGTAGTATGTCTGTCCAAGCAGAGGCCGAGCCTGTTGCTAACACGGGCTGCCGGACCTGGTTTAACGCATGTTTCCATTGAAAAACGTAAGCCAGAGAATCTCTCCCTCCACGTGTCTAGATGGGGCCTGGTCCATTTGCTTCTGAGTGTTCTTTTTCTTTACCCTTTAATATAGAAACACAAAGTAAAAAACTCCCTCTTGGCTTAGGATTGAAGAGGATCAAGACGAAGCAGTCTTTCGTGAAGTGGTCAGTTTCACCCCGGATCCTCTGCCAGGTAAGAAACCCCCCGGCTCTCAACGCTGTCTCCCGAGTTTCCCGTGGGGTTTCCGGGCCAGGCTGCCCACTTCCTTCCTGTCTCAAGCTCTCGGTTATCGTCAGAGCATCGTGAATAATCTCATAGTTCCCACCGCTTCCTCTTCTGCCCAGTTAGGTACTATGACAAGGACACCACCAGCCCCATCAGCTTTTACTTGTCGTCGCTGGAGGAACTCTTGGCGTGGACGCCCGACGTGGAGGACGGCTTTAACGTGGCCTTGGTGCCCTTCCAGAGTCGGCAGCCCCCCCTGAGCAGCCGGAGGCCCCGGACCTTGCTCTGCCATGACATGATGGGCGGGTACCTGGATGACAAGTGAGGATTTTGCGAGGACATCGTCGGCTGTCATCTTCTGCTTGTTTTCTTTGGTGGATGGGCTGGAGGGGAGGGAGGGTGCCGCATGGCCGAAAGAGCCCGGATGGGGAGTCAGGAGACGGGCGGGAGAGCAGCTTGGCCTCAGTGCTTCATGTGGCAGGAAAGGGGGGGGCCGGGGAGCCGTGCTGCTCCGAGACCATCCGATTCCGCCTGGGCCTGAATCTGGTCAGCTGGCCAGGGCACAGCAGCAGCAGGGCACCCTCTTCAGAGCTGGCCGGAAACTTGGCTCTTCCCCCGGTTTCTTGCTCCTCCTCCTGTCCCCGAACTCTGATTCCTTCTGGGCCCCTGGCTCTGGCCTTGGAAGCTTCGCGTGTCACTGCCCCTCCCACTCCCAGCTGGGGACAAGGCCCCGCGCTGCTGTATCAGCTCACTCATCTGCAGTGTCCAGAAAACAATCTCGGACACGACGGTTCCGGGACTGTGCGCGTCAGAGCTGGCCGCCAGGTCGAGGCGGAGGCGGCCGGTGAAATCTGGGGCCTCCTGCGCCGGGACACTGTCCTGGAGGAGCTGCCTACTCAGAGCTGGCCGCCAGGTCGAGGCGGAGGCGGCCGGTGAAATCTGGGGCCTCCTGCGCCGGGACACTGTCCTGGAGGAGCTGCCCACTCAGAGCTGGCCGCCCGACACCTGGAGCTTTGGCAGGACTGCTGCTTCTCGTCCCTTCTGCGTGTTCCTCTGGGCATCGGGGATCCGACGGCAGAGCCTGCACGGCCTGGGGGAAACTTCCTGAGGACCAATCCTCGTGCCGTCGGGGTGGTGCTGTGGTCAGCCGCTCACCCAGATTCCGCACGGTGCCTGGCACACAGTGGACGGGCGGGACCCAGGAGACTCCACTCGGGGCTGCTCTCTCCACCTGGACGTCGCCGTGTCTTTCTTCTGCTTCGTGGCCCTGACTGGGTTCTGTTTCTCTACTCAGGTTTATTCAGGGCTCAGCGGCCCAGAACCCCTACACCTTCTACCACTGGCAACACATCGACATCTTTGTGTACTTCAGCCATCATATGGTCACTGTCCCCCCAGTGGGCTGGATCAACGCTGCCCACAGGCATGGGGTCTGCGTGCTGGGTAAGGAGCCCAGGACGCGCCTCTGCTTCAGCCAGACTCCTTAGCACACCTGCCTGCCAGGTGACCCAGCGAACAGGCTGGGCTGTGCTTCTAGTGAGGGGAACTGTACCTGGGGCTGCTTTGATGGGTAGGGCAGGTGGAGGCAGACTTGTTCTGGAAAGCATGGTGGATGGCGGTAGCTTTGCAGCTGCTGAGACAGCAGCCCCCGTAGACAACAGGCAAACGAGTGGCTGTGTTCCGGTAAAGCTGTGTTTATAACAACAGCTGGCGGCTGGCCCCCGCGTACAGCAGTGTTTCTCAAGCCTTCACCTGCGTCCGGCCTCACCCCCGGGGGTCTGATTCAGAGCCCGCCGGTGATGCTGCTGGTGCAGGAACCGCACTGTGAATGGCGTCGGTCAGGAGGGGAAGTTCCCACACCTGACCTCCCTGCTGTCCCACAGGCACGTTCATCACCGAGTGGAAGGAGGGTGGACAGCTGTGCGAAGCCTTCCTGGCTGGGGACGATCGCTCCTACCAGGCGGTGGCAGATCGGCTGGTCCTCATGGCTCAGTTTTTGCACTTTGACGGCTGGCTGATCAACATCGAAAACTCTCTGAGTGTGAGCACAGCCTTTCTCGCGGCGCTGGTGCAGCTCAGCCCCGGCCGCCGTGGGGTGTCCCCCACACTGTGTCCTCGTCCTCACCTCGCCCGCACCCAGGCCTGCTCCCCTTGGCAGCGGGGGCCGCTTCTCGCTTCCCAGTGAGAGCCAGCTCCTGCCTGTGTTACCCGGAGACGGAACCTTCCCCGGCCTGCGTCCGGAAGCCTGCGCGGCTGAGCTTTGCCCCTATGGCTCCTTCGAGGCGACACGTCCTGCTCCTCCTCCATCCCTGTTTGGCTTGGGCTACAACTGTGGCTTCCTCTCACGACACCCTCCTTTCTCCTGGCGTTTAATCTCTCCCTGGCGGCCGTGTCCGTGTCCTCCTGCTTCAGGGAGGAAAGTCGGACATCTGGCTGGAGCCTCCCTCGGTGGCTGAGGGGTTGCGGGGCTTCTGGGACCATGGCTCTTTTGGTGGGATCAGGTGTCCTGTCTGTCCTGTGCCAGGCACTTGTGACAAGCCCCTCTGGGCCTCACTGAGGGTCTTGCTTCCCCCTGCAGCTGGCCGCCGTGGGGAACACGCCCCGCTTCCTTCAGTACCTGACCTCTCAGCTGCATCAGCAGGTCCCGGGGGGCTTGGTGCTCTGGTATGACAGCGTGGTGAGCACTGGGCAGCTCAGGTGGCAGGATGAGCTGAACGAACACAACAGGTGAGCCCACAGGACAGGCGACAGTGCGTGCGCGCTGCCCGGGGTGACGAGGGAGAAGGCAGAGCCCTCTGGTCGCCGGGCGCTGTGCCGGGGTTGCGGGCCATGGTTTACGGGCCAGGCCCTGCTCGCGGTCCTGGAGGCGGCCGTGGCTGAGGCTGTGCGTGGGCGGCAGGCTCTGGGAGGGGACGCAGGCTGGACCCCGGCCCCTCACCGCGGCCCTCCTTGCAGGGTCTTCTTCGACTCCTGTGACGGCATCTTCACCAACTATAACTGGCGGGAGGAGCACCTGGAGCGCATGCAGGGCCAGGCTGGGGAGCGCCGGGCCGACGTCTACGTGGGCGTGGACGTGTTCGCCCGGGGGCACGTCGTGGGGGGCCGGTTCGACACCAACAAGGTGGGTGGGGGCGGGGGCGGGGGTTCAGGACAATGGTCTGCGCACCTTCCCCGAGGCCCCGTGTGCGGGTCTTTTGTTCCCATCTGACCCCAAGGCAAAGGCAGGTGGCAGCTACTCTTCCCAGAAGGGGGAAACCGAGGCACCAGAAACACCCGTGACCTGCCCTGAGGCCGGGCTGTGCCTCGAAGCCCTGTGTTCCATGGGGCGCTAGTGCGCCCTGCCGACTGTTCGCCCGGATCCTGGGAGGGGTGCTGAGCCAGCATCTCAAAGCGTCGGGTGACTGGGGACACCCAGCCCCATCCCCGGGCTGCCTTTCTCGGCAGCGTAGGGCTGAGCACAGGCGAAACCTGCAGTCGGAGCCGCAGGCGTGACGACTGGTGACGTCTGCAGGCGGGGGTCCCACGGGCAGCGAGGAGAGGCGGCTGGGCACTGGGCTGATGTGCCTGCCGTGGGCCGTCTGCCCAGCTCCTTGCTGGGTGCCGCGGACGTTCTCCTCACTAATGGAGCTTAAGTGGTCAAATTAATCCCGTAGCTGGAGATCCTCTCCAGCCCCCGTGGGTCTGACAAGCTGCCGGGAGGCGGTGAGACAGGGAGCCTGTGAGCGCCCCACCTGCAGTCCTGCCCACTTCGGGTTGTCGGGGGGACGCCAGGGGGCGGGCCTGAAGAGCTGAGGGGAGCTGGGCGAGGGCCCCCCTGGACCTGGCATGCGCTGGTGTGCCATCGTCCGACCACTGTGTCCCCAGTCGCTGGAGCTGATCCGGAAGCACGGCTTCTCGGCTGCCCTGTTTGCGCCCGGCTGGGTGTACGAGTGTCTGGAGAAGACGGATTTCTTCCAGAACCAGGACAGGTGAGTCCTGCCCGACCCAGGGGCTGAGCGTGGCTGACGGCAGCGAGGGTCTCGGGCGACAAGGGGTCTCAGGCGAGGGCTCTGGCCTGGCTCTCCAGGGCTGCGTAAGGCAGGACGAGGGCATGGCCACCTGGGCTGTGAGGGGCCTAGAGACCAGACCTAGAGCCCCCGAGGGGCTGCTGCCCACAGACGTGCGCCTGCCACACATCTGTGGTCCGGGGCCTGCGTGACTGTGGAAGGGACGCGGGGGAGCTGCTGAGGGAGCTCGGGGCGCCACGTGCCCTCTGCTCCGACATCAGCTGTGCCCCGACGTGTTTCTTTGCAGGTTCTGGAGTTTGCTGACTCGTTACCTGCCCACCCATAGCATCTGCTCCTTGCCCTTTGTCACCTCTTTCTGCCTGGGCTTGGGGACTCGCAGAGTCTGCTACGGCCAGGTGTGTGGGTTACCATGCTGGGTGACTGGGGGCACCGGGGCTCCTGACCGTGCTGCGGGGTGACCTGGGGCCTCACCTGGGAGAGGTGAGGGGGCCCGGGTGTCCGTGAGGGGACGGCACACCCTGCCCAGCCTGCTGCAGCCCGCCCTGTCCCGCTGCTCTCTCCAGGAGGAGGCGGTGGGGCCCTGGTACCACCCGAGCGCCCAGGAGCTCCAGCCCCTGTTTGGGGAGCACAGGCTGGAAGAGAATGGCCGGGGCTCGGTGAAGACGTACAGCTGCCTGGCAGACGCCTGGAACGGGGGCAGCTCCCTGCTCATCCGGGGGCTGATGCCGCCCGAGATCGGGCACGTGGCCGTGAGGTAGGTGTGTGAGCAGGCAGGAGATGTGTGGGCGTCAGCAGCTGCTCCCGTCGTCCTGCGACCTGTTTCACTGGGCAGAACTGAAGTGAGCTTTGTTTATTTATGTGGTGAAAAGTGCGTACAAGTAACATGATTCACCCTGAGCCGGTTCCGCGTGCCCAGTGGTGTGGACGACGCACACCGGTGCCGTCCGTCTCCAGCACAGCTGGTCCTGCAGAACAGTGTCCCCACGTGAACTCCATGCCCCGGCCCGGCACCCACGCTGGTGCGGTCCGTCTCCAGCACAGCTGGTCCCGCAGAACAGTGTCCCCGCGTGAACTCCATGCCCCGGCCCGGCACCCACGCTGGTGCGGTCCGTCTCCAGCACAGCTGGTCCCGCAGAACAGTGTCCCCGCATGAACTCCATGCCCCGGCCCGGCACCCACGCTGGTGCGGTCCGTCTCCAGCACAGCTGGTCCCGCAGAACAGTGTCCCCGCGTGAACTCCATGCCCCGGCCCGGCACCCACGCTGGTGCGGTCCGTCTCCAGCACAGCTGGTCCCGCAGAACAGTGTCCCCGCGAGAACTCCATGCCCCGGCCCGGCACCCACGCTGGTGCGGTCCGTCTCCAGCACAGCTGGTCTCGCAGAGCAGTGTCCCCGCGAGAACTCCGTGCCCCGGCCCGGCACCCACGCTGGTGCGGTCCGTCTCCAGCACAGCTGGTCTCGCAGAGCAGTGTCCCCGCGTGAACTCCGTGCCCCGGCCCGGCACCCACGCTGGTGCGGTCCGTCTCCAGCACAGCTGGTCCCGCAGAACAGTGTCCCCGCGTGAACTCCATGCCCCGGCCCGGCACCCACGCTGGTGCGGTCCGTCTCCAGCACAGCTGGTCCCGCAGAGCAGTGTCCCCGCGTGAACTCCGTGCCCCGGCACCCACGCCCACTCTTCCTGTGGTTCTGACTGCTTAGCTTCCTCCAGCACGCAGGACGTCGGGACAGAACGCGCAGCCACAGGGCACCTGGCGCGGGGGACTGGGACGCGGGCCGGTCTGTGTGAGCTCCTGTGCTGGGAGGGAGCGGTGGTGCGGCTGGAGCCCACCGGGTTCTCGGGTTCCTCTGTGGCCTCTCATCACAGGCCCTTCGTCCTCCAGGTTATTCTCCCTGCAGGTCCCAGCACCACCCAAAATTTTCCTGTCCCTGGTGTATAAGCTCGAAGGGTCGTCGAATGTCGGGGTAGCTCTGGAGCTCACCACAGGGGATGCAGGCAGCTGTCACGTCGGGGCCATCTCAGTGTTGGATGGTGAGGGGACGGGGTGGCTCCTGCCTTCCTTCCAGGCCTCTCCCCTTCTCGGGACACCTCGGGGGGCAGGGTGTTGGCAGTGTCGGCCCTGTGGCTGATGGCGCCACTGTGGTCCAGCTCTGGACAGGGAAGTTCCCGTCAGTCAAAGCTTCTGGCCCGGAGCCCCTCGGGGAGCAGGCCTGCCGGCGCGGCACGGAGAGGTCGGCCAGCCAGGGGTCAGGCGAGGCCAGGAGACAGTGGTGGCAGTGCCGGCTCTCCACCGAACACGTGCCTCCTGTCCACCTGGTCTCCTGCCCCTGCGGCCTGAGCCTGTCCTGGCAGGCCATGAGCCGGGGCCACCTGCTCCCTGCTCAGTCACTCCTTCTGGTCTGGTTTTGGTGGATTTTTTTCTTCCTCAAGTCCCGTGTCTCCTTCTGCAGTAGGAACAAGCTCCAGGCACAGACCCCGACCCCTCCAGGAGCCCCCCACCAAGCTGGCCAGATGGGCGGCCCACTGTGGCCAGCGGCTCAGTGGGGGCTGGGTCCAGCGGTGAGTCCCTCTCCTTCCTGTGGAGACCACAGGGGACGCCACTCTGCGGTGGGGACTTGAGGAGTGAGAAGCTCCAGAACCGGGGGGATGGCGGCCCTGGACTGACCCCCGAGTTTCAGGCAGCTCCCAGAGACAAGCCCAGGACACCTGCTGGGAGGGCCGTGACCACGCCTTAGGCCTGGGGTCCCCGCTGACCACAGCCCACTTTGGAGGGAGGGCTCTGCGTGGAGGCTCGCCCGTGACCAGCCTGTTTGCCCTCAGCTGCTATGAGCTGGGCCTGCGAGGCTGCCTCCTGCAGGACCTCTTCGTCAGCTTCTCTCGGCCCCCCGGCAGCCAGGACGCCGAGGACTTCGCCTGTCGCCTTGGAGAGATCCAGGTCAGGGTCCAGGGGACACTTCCTCGGGCTCCCCTGAGGTGCCTGTCCCGGTGCGGAGCAGGCGGGATGCCGCGGAGCTGAGCGTCCTCCCCGGTTTAGGGAGCAGTCAGGGTGCGGGGGGGGGCGTGTGTGGGCACCTGCAGCCGGCTGAGCCTTCTCTCCCCGCAGGTGGTGGATGCCGACAGCCTGCTGAGCCCTCTGCCCCACGTGCAGTCCACCTCGTTGTCCAGGGTCCACTGGCAGCGGGCGGCTCCCGAGGGGGCGGGCGCCCCGGCTGGGCTCCGGCTCAGCTGCACTCTGCACTGGTCCTACCCCCTGGCCCACGTCCGATGCTTCCGGATCCACTGCTACCAAGGGACGGGGGGCCGCGCTCCCGGCAGGGGGCCTCTGGGCCCCGAGAAGCCCACGCTCCTGGGTCTGGCTTTCGTTAACCAGTACCGGGTCGTGGGCCTGGCTGTGGCAGAGGCTGGGCCCGGCCAGGACGGCCGTGTGGAGTTCCTGGTGGAGCCTGTCCCCAGGGAGGGCTTCCTGGTGCCCCAGGCCGAGTGGGGCAGGGCAGCCATGCTGTACTCCGTGCCGGGCACGTGAGCAAACGTCCAGCCTGCTCCACCGCACGGCGGGGGCTTCCTCCGGGCCGGCCGCGGCCGCGGCCGCGGCACAGCCAGGGCCTGTGGACCTCGGGCCGGGGCCTTGGGAACGGGAAGGCCAAGGAGTCAGCTTGCTGGGTGCGGGTCCCTGAGGCGCGTGGGCCCCATCTCTGTCCAGTTCCTCTCTGTGGCACACAGCTCCCAGGGAAACGTGGAAGGATTCGGGGAAGTTGAAACCAGAAAATTCCATAAAGGGGATTTCCTCACGGGCTGACGCGTGAATGGTGACCTTTCATTGCACAGACGGGACAGTTAGGATGGACCCGACTCGCGGCTGGAGGGCTTCGGAGCAGGCCCTGGGACGTGCCTGAGCGTGCGGGCCGCCTGCAGAGGCCGTCGGGCCGGCACGGGGGCCCTCCGCCTGGAGGGTGGTCGCTGAGGTCCAGGCTGCTTTGTGTTGTGACTCCCAGTTTACTGTCCCCTGGGCTGGGCCCATTTCTGGAGCGTCCCCGTTGGCTGTGTCCCGCTGTCTCCAGGGTCGTAGGCATGGGGGAGGCTGCCACGGGGAGCGAGGGTCCAGGCTTGGGGAGCAGGAGGCCCGGGGGGGGGCCCAGATGTGCAGCCCAGCCCACAGCCCCTCCTGTGTCTCCCAGGGCGGGCTCGCGGGGGTGGGTCCTTCCTCTCGCTTCCTCCTCCCCCAGCACCCCCTTCTCCCTCTCAGTCTCAGGGTGACCGGTGGCTCTGCTTGGGGAGGAGGGGATGAGCTGGTGGCTTCTCCAGCCACACAGTTCCCCTGCTGACGGCGGGGCCACTCGCTGCTCCCTGGGGCCAGGCCCCCCCCAGTGCCCGAGAGGGGACAAAGGTCGTGAGCCCCTCATTCTCCGAGTCTTACCCAGGCCTCCGAGGGCAGTGGTGGGGCTGCTTCCCCACCCCTACGGTCCTCGACCTCTGCTGCCAGGTGTGGAGTGGTGCCAGGGCTGGGGCACGGGCCTCCCAGCTGCCTGTCCGGGCTGTCAGCGGACTGGACTTGGTGCTGTAGTGAGGGGAGAGGCCACCAGGTGGCAGTGCAGGGGTGGAGTGGTGCCAGGGCTGGGACACGGGCCTCCCAGCTGCCTGTCCGGCTGTCAGCGGACTGGACTTGGTGCTGTAGTGAGGGGAGAGGCCGCCAGGTGGCAGTGCAGCTCTGCTCCGGCCGGCGGCAGCGGCAGGGGTGCAGGGGTGCAGGGGTGCAGGGGTAGGCCCGCACACTTTGAGCCCGCAGGACAGTGGAGGGGCTTCAGGGCCACGCGGGCTCCATCCCCACCTTCCCAGGTGCCCCTGGGCCTCTTCAGCAGGCACAGGGTCCTCAGCACCCCTTTCCTGACTGGGAACACGGGCGGTCGTGCCCACACGTGTGCCAGCCCGCTCAGGAGCTGGGGCGGCCCTGTGCTGACAACTCCCCTGAGGGCTCCAGCCTCTCATTCCAACCCGGGGGCTCCCAGCCTTTGTCCCCAGCGGGGGAGCCAGCGGGGCGCCGGCTGGGCACCTGACGTGGCCTCACAGCTGAAACTTCCTTCACGAAACCCCTTTTTTCCTTAAGTGCTAGTTGCCCCGAATATTTTATGCAGCGGAGGGAAAATTTATAGTGGCAATTATTTTCTCAGTCTGGTGAGCAAGCAATTAGAAGTAAGGGCCCAGCAGAGCATGGTCCCGGGGGGCCCAGTCCACCCCCCAGGAGCGCGGTCCCGTCCTGCCGCCAGCCAAGGCCCGTGCGCAGGAAAATTAGTATGTCGGCACTTAAGCCGGGGCCCCCACCCCCCTCGGGTGTAATCACTGAAATAAATCACCCCACCTTGTGAAAACGAAGACCTCAAGTCAGACGCGTGGGCTTGGTGGGCGCCGGAGTCTCCCTGCCCCAGCCCCAGGCCAGCCCCAGGCGCTCGGCGCTGGGTCTGGAGTCTGCTGCTTCCCTTCCCGGTTCTCCCTCCTCTTCCGGGCGGAGGGCTGGTGGCTGCGTCCCCCACGCCGGCCTTCCAGGAGTGGGGCTCGCCCCCATCGGAGCACAGGGCTGACCACGGCGTGGGACCACTGTCGCGGCCTGACCTCGCCTCACAGACCTCCCCAGACCACTGACCTCGCCGCAGCAGCCCACGCCCAGATGCCCAGCCTGGCCGGGGACAGGGTCGGGGAGGCCGGTCTGGCAGGGAGGACCCCCTCCCTCAGGCCACCTGGGCTCAGCGCAGGCAGGCTGGCCCCCGGTGCCCTCCACCCTCTGTGCCCGGGAGCTGCCAAATCAGAGACTCGTCCTGGTTTGAAGAAAGAAATCTTTATTAATAACCTTAATAATAATACTGCTGATTTGAAGGGTCACGCCTGGGAAGCATACAGAACGTAAGAAAGGAAGCCGGGGCTGGCTGCAGTCCTGGGAGCGGGGAGCGGACGCAGCTGCGCGAGAAGGGCCAGCGGCGGGCGGCGGGCGGGCGCTGTACACGGGACTAGAAAAGGAGCCTGGCCCCAGGAGCTGATGCGGAGTACAAAGTGAGGTTCGTCCTTTACTTCTGAAGTTTCACGAGACAGTAGTGGACCATGTTGGGAACCTGGGTTTTTTTATTTTTTGCTGCTGCCCTGAACCAACTATCTGCCTGGCCAGGGCTTTTCCCTGTTCCTCGCCATCTGCTGCCCCCTCCCCCAGGCCGGCCTCCCCCTGCTCCAGCCTGGCTGTCTACACCCAAAGCACCGAGACTCCCAGCCTCACCGTGCAGCCAGGCGCTGGCCGTCCCTCGGCTCCCAAGCGGAGCCAGGCTCTGCAGGGCAGGGGTGCGGAGGGCTCGTCCGGCAGGCACTGTGGGGTCAGCCGTCCCTCCCAAGGCCAGCTCAGGCCTCCTCCAAGGGAACCGGAAACAGCCCATCAGGGCAAGTCCTGGACCTCACGGCCCCCACCACCCATCCTTAGGTACAGGATCCATCCTGGCCGGGCAGCCCGGGAGCCCCTCGCGCGGAGGGAGGGGTGCCTGGGCGCCCCTAGTTCTGGAATGTCAGCCCTTGGTGTTGGGGTCGGAGCCCAGGGCTGCTGGTCGGACAGCCTCGGTGGCCTGCAAAGCCTGCCTCAGGTTGCAGGACATGGGCATGGTGGCATGGCGCGAGGGAGAGCTGCGCCCCGAGCGCGACACGGGGTGACTGGGCGTGGGCTGAAGCCAGAGCCTGGGGATGAAAAGCGGCCCCTGCCTGTGCCCCCCGCGGCCCAGCCTCCTCCCACGGGTACAGCTGGCAACACAGTGGTGCTGGCCGGCTCTGCCCGCGCGGCCTGCGCCCTCCGCCGCTGCCCCCACGCTGCCCCCGCGGCCCGGGAGCAGGGGCCAGGAAAGGAAGACTGGACAGGAAACCGCGGCCCCGCCCCTCGCGCCCAGCCCCGTCGGGAGGGTGCGGCCGGCTCTCCTGGGCCTGGCGGTGCTCCTCGCTGGGGTCCGACACGCGGGACCTGGACGTGGTGGATGCGTCTTGGCTTGGTTTTTGTTGTTGCTTGGATCTTAACATCTTTTTTTGTTTTGTTTTTTGTTTTGTGATTTTTTGTTTGTTTTGTGTTTGCCCTTGGCGGTCCGAGAAGGGGACGGTGGAAGCATTCACTACAACAGAAACAGAAAGGGCGTGCAGTTTCGCGGAAGCTGCGGGCCTGTGGCGAGGGCCGCGCCCTGCACCCCGGCCCAACCCTGTCCCCCCAGCTCTCGGGGCCCATCTGCTCTGGGGAGCAGGACAGCTGTCCTCAGGGTCCGGAGGGTGGAGGGCGGAGGGGTCGGAGGGCTGCAGGGAGCCTGGTGGGCAGGGGCCTGGCTGGCTGTGGAGGGGAGCTCAGGGCAGGGCGAGTGGCCACGTGGGTGGCGTGCACTGAGGCCGCTGAGAAGGCAGTGCTCTGGGCAGTGAGGCGCGGGGGCCGCCACCTGGGCAGGGTGTGCCCACCCCACCGGCAAGGAACCAGCGCCCTGCCTGGCAGGGACCCACACCCTCTAGCTGGCCGTCCGCCCCGGAAGCCCCGCTCTGGTACCGGGCTTCCCTGGCTCATGCCACTTTCTCCCACAACAGCTGCCGAGGCAAGGGCCTGGCCTGAGGGCAGATGCACCTCCTCCCAGAGCCCGCACGGCCCGCAGCAGCATGGCTCACAGGGCGGAGCTCGGCATGGCGCCCCTCCGGATGAGGGGCTCACCCGGCGCGCGCCCCACGGCCCGTGGTGGGCCTCCCCCTGCTCCTGGCCTGCTCTCCCGTCAGGCTCCCCTCCTAGATGACCCTGATGGAAAGGATTTCTGAGTGGGGAGGGGACGGAGGTGCCGGCAGCAGCATGAGCACCAGGGCCAGGCCAGCGGGACCCTCTCAGGGTGGACGCTGGGGGGGGGGGGGCACTGCAGGGGCCGCGGCCTCCTGACAGGGAGGTTTCTGCCTTCACTTTGATCTCTTACATCAGAGGCTAAGGCACCTCTGAGGCTGCCGGGGCTGCTGCCGGACCAGCAGGAGACGTCAATACAATTTGATCCGCAAGGTTCGCTTCGGCTGGGCGGGGGGCAGGCAGAGCTCCCGTGACTGGTGGGTAACGGGTCTGAGCCTTTTCGAGGCTGTGAACCCACCGACCCCAGCACCCCGGGGAGGAAAGGACTGTGCCCTGGGCTGGCTGGGTGGCTTCCGGGCCAGGCGTCCTCGTGGCTCTGTAGACCTCGGGGGCCGGGATGGGCCACCCTCGTGGGTGTGGCCCTATTGCTAGCACTCGGGGTCCTCTGCCCAGCCTGCCCGTGGGCATACCATACCTGGGAGGCTCGGGGCGCAAGGTCAACAAAGTCAAAATGGGAACCGAGGTTTCAGACATACGGGGTGACCAGGTCAAAGACACACACACCATCGTGGGGGGCCCAGCTGGCTGGAGGTAAAACCTATGGACTTTAGCGGCGCAGAGGTCAGCGGCGTGCGTCGCTGACCGGGAGGGCGCACTGTCCTCCTGGTGGCTGTGCCTGGCTTTGGACTGCTGGGTTTGGTGTGTACTAGACAGGCTGTGAATGCTGCTAGGGGCTGGGCCTC